CTAACTCCGCTGGTCGCTTAGGAGCTGGCTTTTTAAAGTTAAACAGGGAGCTACTCAGGGGAACTCTGACTCCTGTTGTTTCATCTGCCTGGCTGTTTTGGTCCCCAGGCCTTGACAACAGTAGATTCTTCTCCCATGGCATCTCCCATTATTACTAGAACTGGCTCAACTCCACCAATAGATGATGGGGCACTACCAGCACTTTAGCCACTGTGTTGTCCAGATCTGTTCTGAGCAGGACTAGCTAACATCATGGTATAAACACCATGTCTATGCTAGCATTCCCATCTTCGCTCACTGCCTTTAGATCTGAGCTGGTTCTAGCATCAAAAGGAAGCTTTAGAGAGGGAAAGTGCAGCATAGACACTCGGAGCGAAGGGCCTTTTTTATGATATATAACGTAAATTAAATTGTGTTGTTGTGTCATCCTGTTCTTATTGCTGCCCTGTCTCCATTTTTAAGTAACTGGAGAAGCAAATTTAGATTTAGTGGTTCCCTAGTCTTCCTTTTGGCATGGGAGTCCTGAAACAGCAGCATAGGAGGTGGTCTCTGCCAAGCAAGGAGCAACCCAGGTAAGATTTTCAAGGGTGCCCAAGTGACATAGTAGCCCAAATCTCATTTTCAAAAGAGACTTTGGCTCTTTAACACCTAAATCACTTAGGCATCCTTGAAAATGTTACCCAACATGCCTGTGTGGACTCGAATAAGGAGGCTGGATAGGACTACAGCAGGGGTGGGCAAACATCGGGTTTCAGAAATTGTATGGGGGGCCATTTAGGGGGGCCTGTGCCTCCCCAAACAGCCAGGCATGGCCTGGCCCCTGCCCCCTATCCGACCCCCCCTGCTTCTCACTCCCTGATAGCTCCCCCGGGACCCTTGCCCCATCCAAATCAGAGACTTAAACTAAGATTTCAAAAGCTTCCTTCAGCTTAGATCCCCATGATTCAACTAAAACACGTCAAAGCTTTGCAGAGTCATTGAGGGAAAGAGACAGACAGGTTTTGCCAACTAGCATTTTCATCCTCTCCCAACCAGAAGACACTAATTCTTAACACCAGTTAACCCACATCCCTAATACAGCCTGATAGGGAACTCCTTAATTCCCCACAGCTGGCCCAGCCCTCCTACCCTCACAATCCTTGTAATTAGGACATGCAGCTGTGGTCTTTCCTCTGCTTGGGGAGTGAGAGTTAACCCTCTCCCTGCCAACATTTGATGGATTCTGTACATCTCGGCGCAGCTCAAAGGGAATTTTCTAGTGATAGATGGTGTTTGGTGATTACAAAGTATGGTGGTTAGTATTAGACCACTGACTCACTGGGGGACCCAGGGAAAATTGTGTGCTCTCTCAGTGATATTCACTGCTGCAGCAGAGGGTACAATGTGGTGCTAGTTGAGTGGCCAAGTAGGCACCCTCTGCAAGCCCTGCATTGGCCTTGAATATGTCAGGAAGGGTAGTGCCTGCCTTCACCAACATAAAACACAGTCATGAGGCTCCAATAGCTCATGGATGGGGAATGGAAAGTGGCCACTGTTGCAAGCTACAGGCCCAACCCAATGCCTATGGGTAGGGTTACCATACGTCCGGATTTCCCCGGACATGTCTGGCTTTTTGGTACTCAAATCCCCGTCCGGGGGGAATTGCCAAAAAGCCGGACATGTCCGGGGAAATAGGGAGGCAGCATAAGCCAGGGTCCGCCTGGCCCCAGCACGACCCGCCGGGTCCGCAGCGCAGCCCAGCCACCCGGCTACATTGTAGCGAGCTCGGGCGGGGGAAGGAGGGGCGCAGCCACAGAAGGCGGCGAAGGGGCTGCTGCTGCCCCCGGAGGCCGGGCGGACCACGCGCCCCAGCCGAGCCCGCAGGACCACGGGGAGGCCGGGCCCAGCCAACGGCTCGGGCTTCCCTCACGGGCGGGGACTCCCCGGCCACTGGGGGACCCTTCCTGTGGCCACATCACCCCGCGCGGCAGGAAGGAGGCTGCAGCGCGGGGTAGGGAGTGCGGCGTGTGCCAGGGCTGCAGGGACCCGCGCTGCCCCGGTCGCCGCTGAGCATCCGAAGCCCCCGCCAGGCAGAGGCTGCCGGGGGAGCGGGGGAGCAGGGCAGGCGGGGGGGTGCAGAGGCTGCAGGGCGAGGAGGAGCAGGGCAGGCAGGGGCATAGAGGCTGCAGGGGCAGGGGGGCGCAGGGGCAGGGCAGACGGGGGCACAGAGGCTGCAGGGACGGGGGGTGCAGGGGCTGCAGGGTGAGTGGGGAGCAGGGGGCACAGAGGCTGCAGGGGCGGGGGGGTGCAGGGGCTGCAGGGCGAGGAGGAGCAGGGCAGGCAGGGGCATAGAGGCTGCAGGGGCAGGGGCAGAGTTGGGGCGGGGCTGGGGGCAGGACCGGGGCCCCGTGGAGTGTCCTCTTTTTTAAATGTTTGAATATGGTAACCCTACCTATGGGAGTCAAATGAAGGACTCTTCTTGCCAAGAATGGGCATTGGATTGGGTCCTATGAGACGAAAAAACACCCATGTGCAGATTGTACTGCAGCCTCGTGTCCTGCCCATGTGTTGCAGAGGACTTGCATGCGACCCAACCCAAGGAAGAACTGTGGATTTCTGCAGTGGGTGGCAGTGGGTGGCGGGAGTGGAATTTCTCACTCTCTGTATGTAAGGTCACGATCTGTAAAATGGGGATAATATAGATATTTCACAAGGCAACTGAGGAGCTTAATTATTTAATGTACATGAAACACTTTGACAGTCCTCAGTCAAAATGTGCTATTAAAAACATCTTGTATTATTCCAAGTGTGTGTAAGTGAAAGTGGCTACTCGGGAGAGAAGAGCTTCTTGAAGTCTCTTAATTAACAACAATTTGGGTTCCATGGCACTTCTCCTTCCTCTTACCAATTTGTTGCCAAGATTTTCTCATTCCTGTGGAATTCCATAATTCTAGAAAATAAATGCTGATAACTGTTGAAGTATCTTTAGTCACTTGATGACTGAAGCAGTTAGAACCTTTCAGTCACTTGTTGAGATCATTTTCTTTTTCAAAATGTACAAAATTAACCCTAAAGACAGAGGTCCCAATTCTTCGCTCACCAAATTTATGCCATGTCCTATTACACTAATGTAGCTCCTCCTGGGTTAGACTGGTGTAAAATGAGGGGAGAACACCAGGTAAGTATAGATAGCGACCTCCAACTGAGATTAGGACTCATTGTGCGGGGCATTGTGCAAACACACAGTACAGACTGTGCCACCCCAAAAAGCTTCCAGTGCAATTGGACAAGACAAAGGATGAGAAGGAAACTGAGGTAGAGAGAGTTGCAATGACATTCCCAGGGTCACAGAGTAAGTCACAGGAACAGAATGCAAGTTATCTTGCCTCCCAATCCAGTGCCCTATCTACTAGACCCTTCATCAGTTGTGTAACTTGGTCACTTTTGCCTCTGGTGTGGCTAAAGGAGATTGCAAAGTGTGACACCACTGGCCTGTTGCTTGCACCTAATTTTCACTTGCATATCCAAAGCCACTGTCCTAGGATGCAGTTATAGATTCAAATTATGCAGAGATCCATGTTTGAGTCGCCCTTATTCAACTATCCCTATGTGACTCCTTTATTATTTGAGCATCACATCAGCTGGACAGAAATCCTGACTATCTGAGGTTCTCAAAGATTAGTGAATTCATTTCACAAACTCACTAAATCTCAGCTTCTAGCATCTATTTATGTAAAGGATTTTTTAATTAATTTTTTTGGCCCTCATTAAAAGTTTCTGATTGACAGCACTGAAAAAATATAGCCACAGAACAGGTCTGATTCTGGTTGCACATCAGTGTAAATTAGGAGTAACTCCACTGAATCAGTGAAGTTACAATATCGGGGTAGCCGTGTTAGTCTGTATCCACAAAAACAACAAGGAGTCCGGTGGCACCTTAAAGACTAACAGATTTATTTGGGCATAAGCTTTCGTGGGTAAAAAACCTGCTTTTTTACCCACGAAAGCTTATGCCCAAATAAATCTGTTAGTCTTGAAAGTGCCACCGGACTCCTTGTTGTTTTTGAAGTTACAATAGTGTGAGAGGAGAACCAGGCCTAATAAGTACAAGTGCAAATTCCTTATGTTACCCTGGCAAATGTGTCCTACCCATACTTTGGGTGGGAACAACTGTTCATGCTGTGGTCCTGTCTGCAGAACAGCCATGTTGCAAAATCCAGAAAAGAAGCTATTTTTTATGTTTTAAAGCTCCTATCAACCAGTTACTATTCTGTTGTGCCCCAGGGCATTAAAGAGAATGAATACTTGTTATCACTTAACTCCTGTGTAGGCGATTATGGGTTTCCTGCTGTTCTGAAGCTTCAGAATGGCAAATTGGGCTTCCTTTAGTTTTGATTTGCCGGTTGAAGAAAGTGGAGATCCCACGCAGGTGAAAGACAAAACTGTGTATTTGCTATTTATCAGGAAATGGCTAAATCACAGCAGTTTCCCCCGGATCTGATGATCACTTCTTATTGTTTGACTTTAAAACTCAGGACACTATGTTTATTGTCTCATCAAGCAGCCTGCAAATGAACATTTACATTTTTATTGGTGTTCTTTTCCTTTCTCTGGTTTCAATATTGTCCTTTCAAATAGTTGTGGACACCAAAAAATGTTCCTTTTTGTGGGTCACTCTTCAGCACTTTGCTTGGAAGCTCTAACCACTCCATGACTGTGGTAGGGTATCACATAAGAAAGCAATCATCGCTTAGTGGCCAGGCTGGGATGAGTGAACTGCGGTGAGCTCAGTACTTTCCCCACCAATGGGATAACCTGATCTGTCGTGCCATCTTTAGGCTTACAACCAAGAGGCCTCTGTATTAATGACCCATATATTGTTTTCAAAAAGTATGCAGCCCTGTTCCTAATGAAAAGACTCTATTCAAGTTCCTGCTGCTATTTTTAGCCTGCTGCTGTTCAGCTCACTCTTAGAAGAACCTTTAGTACAATACTATATTTCTTTCTTTCTTTTTTTGCAGGCGCTGAGTAGCAGTCTGTATAAGAGCGCATCGCCCTATGGCTCCCTTAATAACATAGTGGATGGGTTAAGCTCGCTCACTGAGCATTTCTCTGACCTATCCCTCTCCTCGGAAGCCAGAAAACCCAGCAAGAGGCCACCTCCTAACTACCTATGTCACCTCTGTTTTAACAAGGGACACTACATCAAAGACTGTCCACAGGTAAGTGATGTGTGATGGTCTGTAAGAGTATTCACCGCACCACTCGTCTAATAAGACAATTTCCTGAACTTGACTCACTTTTTTTTTTCAGAGCAGCTTTGCAGAAATGTCTTGACAGTTTACCAGGCCAGGCCAAGGTTCTTTTCATCCACCTGTTATCATGGGGCCTGTTACCATGACATTTTACTTGTGTGTCGGCCCCACCTACCCATAGATGCTGGAACTAGGGGTACGGGGGATGTCGCCTCACCCCCTGGCTCAAAGTGGTTTCCATCATATACCGGGTTTGCAGTTTGAATCAATGACTCTCAGCACCCCCACTATACAAATTGTTCCAGCACCCCTGCAACTACCCCAATGTGACTCGCACCCCAAAAAAACACCTCACTCCAGGCAAGTGAGTGGGTAGATTTTGGCAATGGTAAAGGTTGTTACTGTGTAATTTTCCATTTTGAAGATTGTGCTAAATTCATTTTAAAGCTGCACATTTCTTAGCTATCTTGGATATAACATTTAATAAAAAAAATAGCAAGTAATGGAAGTACCCAGCACTAAACACTGTAAGGCAAGAGAAAATGTTATATCAGATGAAAACCTTAAGTCACTGTTGCAGGAACCCAAGCTCCAGGTATAGCTAGTGCAAAATATCCCTTGCCTGATATATGAGAGGTTTATGCTACTTGACTAGAGTTCATGATGGTTCTTGGCTTAGTAGACTGCCTTTGCAATAGCAAAACTGGTAACGTTATTTTCTTAAAGATGTAGGGTACAGTAATTTGCACTAAAACCATATACTAATTTGCATTTCTCCTCTGAAGAGCCAAATCCCAGCATGCCAGGTTTTCCCATCTTCTCAGGTTTCAGCTTGGCATTGCTAAGGTGCGCTTGTTCCCATAGAAGTAGAGACGGTTCAAACTTTCACAGTTCCAACAAGCAATCTACTTAGAGTCCTGAGGCAAAAAAATGCTGATGGCGTTCCAAAAATACAGAAGTGCACATTAGTGGCATCCTCTAGACCACAATTTTCAAATCCTGGCTTCTTAACATGTAACCTTTGTTCTCTCAGTAAAATTGACTACAGTCGATGGCAGCTAGGGGTGTCAGACATATAAAAGCCAGAATTGCAGGCAGAAGGAATGTTTGCCAGCTAAGCAAGGTCAGCATGAAATTGAGTGTGTTCCTGTTGCAGTTGGTCACAGAGGTGTGAACCAAAGAGGGGGTTATCTCCATGAAGTTTTAGCTGCATATCTCCTTCTGATTTTAAGGGAAGTTGTGGAACAAAAACGCCCCATGCAGCTCTGCAAATGCACTTCAAAATATTGTACATTGTATTGTTTCAGAATACACTGAATGGATCATTTTGTTCAGGAATGAGACAAAAAATATTTAGAAATGTGTTTCAATTTTTAATCGACTCAGTTAACATGTACTTGCAAAAAACACAGAAATGATCATGTGATAGCATACATTGTTCAATACTAGGATAGAAATATGCTAACTGTAACTGAATATACCCAGCAGTGGACTCAAATGCAATATTGTGTGAGATAACAGTGCAGTTCTGGGTATGTATAAGAGAAACGCAACAGGTTCCCTAACAATCAATACATATCGGGCAGTGGCTTGCGTAGATTGTCCCCAGTGAATGTATCAGAAATATCTTGAGTGGAGATTCAGGGTCAGTTAAGGAAATTAACTAAAAAAAGAAAATCAGCTAATGCCAATTAAAGCACAGCATATGCAAAAGTTAAGGTTCCTATAGCAAGGTTTATGTGACTGTGTTGTACACTCTATCCAATTTTTGTACGCATGTTGGCCCAGATCTTCAAAGGTATTTAGGCATCTCACTCCTATTGAAATACTATTGAGGATCTGGGCTATTATGATTTAAGCAATAATATATTAAGCTATCCGTTGAACCAAAACAGGAATGGAGAATACTACCTACAGTATGTGCTCTGTGGCTGAACTGTAATATTATATAAACAAATATATATATGTGCCTATGTGTTTGAGTACATGTGTGCTGTACATCAGTGTATACTTTCAGGGGAGGTGGTATGAAATTAGGTCAGTATTGTGTGCAATATCAAAAATAAACCCTGATTCAGGAAAGCACTTAAACACAAGCACTTTACTGGGCCTCAAGCCTGCAGTTGAGTGCTTTATTGAATAGTGTTGTACTTAAACCTATGCTTAAAGTTAAGCATGTACTTAAGTGCTTTGTAGACTCAGGATCTTATTTTCAAATGCCTTGAATCTGGAATCGGATCCACATGAGCCCATATGGCACCCCACTGACTTCAGTGGGATTCATTGTAAGCTTACAGGTCCAACAGCATGGATCCAGTTGCTGGATCAGGACCCATGTTATAAAACCCCTTCATTTTACCAATCCTCTAACTGCAACTGATTTTGGTTTTTAAATTTATTAATATACTGTGTAATAGCTGTAGGGTTTGGTGGTTAATTCCTTCCAGTGTCATCAAAAACAAAAGCTATTTTGAATATGGTACAATGGTTAAAAATACTACTCCATATTTTAAATTATGTTTTAATTCAGACAGGGGGAAAGATAAAATAATCAGACTTGGACAATATGCAGAGCAGTAAATCACATGGTATTTATATTCTCGTTCTTTCTTTTTTACGTAATCACCTAATAAGAAACAGATTTTGTCATGGAGTTTATTATGAAGTTTTTTCTACATAATAAAAAAAATTACCTAACTTCAGGACTTTTTAATCCTCCCTTATTCTCCTTGTTGCAAATGTAACAACATACTGTTTGCTTTTCCTGCTGCCATATGAGTTGACGTTATACCATTCTGACAGAAATGTAAGTACTTATTTCAGATTACACCTTGAGAGATGACCCAGTCCAGAAGCATAAATCACAACACGTAAAATCTGATTTTCTAACACCTCACATATCTAAAGCTTCTTTTCATTTGAAATTCCATCTCAATGCGTTTGTATCAAACCTGAAATATGATTTCATAAAGCTCTGATTTTACAAAGGTTTTTGGGATCCCTTAAGACTGTTGTAAAATCATGGTTAACGTCACTTTTTTGGAGCATGTAGAAATAGGGTAATATACCTTTAAATAGTTTGTGAGCCATCTAGTGGCGCTCAATGTATTCTATGTTTTAGAAGCTCCCTGAAACCAGTAAGAGCAGTAGCATGTATCCAGCTACTCACTGCAGGTTTGTGTATATTTAGTCAACACAATTATTTGGGACCCAACTGTTTCCGTGTGGTTTCATCACGTTGTAATTGTGCCAAGAGGACAACACTTTCAACTAATCACGTTTTTCCATGTGCTCCTACACTTGTTCTGAACTAATTTTTTTAATCCAAGTATCCAAAACAGTTAAACTTCCATTCCAGTCAGGCATCTACTATTCTTTCAAATGCAAAACTCTCACTGATTTCAACAGGACTTTCAATCATAAGAATGACTATAGGATTGAGGCCAAAAGCATCACACCTCAATTTAATTTGGATCTCTGTAATTATATCTAACAATGGCAAACATTCAACATATTTAATTTAAAATGATAGGTAATGTGAGGAGTGAAATAATACACTTTTTTCTTTGTTCACGCATGGGCATATGCACACACATATATAGAGACTTCTTGTCCTTGTCATCAAGGTCCTACACAATTCCACCCTAACCTACATCTCAGATCTTGTCTCTGACCTCACCCTCTACATCTTCCCCAAGACAGGTAATATTCAGTCTTGGGCCAGTAACAGCTACCATATAGATAAAATGTAATGATTTTCTAGTCAGATATCTCACAGCCCTGCAAGGCTAGAAGTGGGAGACAATACTCACTTTCCAACAGGAAAGATCCAGAAATATTGGAACGGAAGATCAGTCTGGGGGGATGGGGATGTGTAGAAAATCTATTTTAGGTCATTTTTAGAAGGTTTTATTGCTTCCTGTGTGTTATAGTTGTAGTCTCAACATTTTTTTTTTTAAAAATCTACAATATTTGTAAAATGGCATTCCTCCCCAGAGATATATGTGGCCTATACAAAATACATGATGGCATGTTGTGATATAAATATCTTATTGGCATCCATTTGGGATAACCTGGGTAACTCACTCACTGCTTCACCACTGTTGATTTATGCAGCCACCCCAAACTCAAGCCAATGAAACCATAAAATCTCTTTACCACATCACACTATCATGTATTAAATGTACTGGTTTTGTGTGTACTTTTACATACTTACACACACACATACACACACACACACACACACACAAGCATGCTATCTCAGCTTCCAGGAAGTCACAAAATGCTTGCGCTTCTGGACTGTTTTAATTCCTTGGTGGGAGAGGAATGAGTGGACGCGGATTCAGGATAGTCTTTCCTAGACTATATTTATAAAATGCATAGTTCCCTTTATTGCTTTGAGCAAGGGTGGATTAACAGCAAAGGCAACAACAAAGCTAACAGAGATACAGTCCAATCTCAGGGCTCCAGCAAAACAGGTCTGTGTTCAAAACTTCCAGCCAAACCCCTTTTCTATCTGCTGCTTCTGCCAAGCACTGATTCCAGCTACTGGGTCTCTGTGTTCCATCCCTACCCAAATGCCTACAAGTTCTGTTGTAAAAATACATGCATGGTCTGTCAGTCAAACATCATCCCACGTTTATGGCCTCAGCCATGTAGTTCTGAGTGCTGGCCAAAGAGTTCTTCTGACCCCTTAGTCATTGCCAAGCTGTCTAGAATGGGCTTGTCAACAAAGAGGGAACCATTTGAACTCGTTTGAACTGGAAAGGAACTCATATCATGGAGACACTACGTAAGACACCCTGGAAAATATAGGTGGTGGTCTTAATTCTGCACTCATGTACCGTAAACACTGAATCATTAATCCCACCCAAGGAGAGTTGGAAGGTACATAAACTTGTGTTTGAATATCTTCTACCACTTTGTCTATATTTTTGTGAATATATATGTACATATACATAGATGAT